GTTCCTGCTGGGTTTACAGAAGCAGGTTCTTTGTTTAAGGGGGTGAGGAAGTGGACTGGGGGATTTTGATAATAACCAACTCTTGGGGAGTGCCTGCTGCATACTGGGCCCTGGGTTAGGGGGTTACACGTGTGCTACCTCATTTAGTCCTCCCTGCAGTGTTAGCCTGTAGCCTTTTATTAGCTGAAGAACACGGCATGAAGGCTCCCTTATTTTAGGCTTTCTTTGACTGGAAGATGTGCTGGGTCAGATAGGGCGTCCTCCCGCTCCAAGCTGCACAGGGTAACTTAAGCCAACAGACCAGGGTGGTGTGTTTATAGAGCATATTAGGGGCGTGTTCAGCGGGCAGCATGAGATGAAACCCATGTCTGTCATCCTGTCCTCACTCCAGCTGTCTTTCACATTAATTAATGCTGAGCCTCCACTATTTTTTTTTTCTTCATTTCTCAGTCTTTACAACCCTGAAAAAAACATTTTCTCCTTGGATAGAGTGGTCTGGCCCAGAGTAACACTTTGTGTTACTTAACCCCTGGGACAGTTGTGCTTTTCATGGGCTATTCCAGACTTTTCCACCCCAGCACAACTAGTTTTTATCAAGTGTCTTGAAAAGAGGTCCCCCCTACATAGTTCAAAACAATCTAATAGGCAGCGTGCAAGCAGATTTTGGGAAAAGCTGAAATAAGAGAATGCTTAGGGAATAGTTGGGTATTCTCAAGGTTCTCCTCAGAAACTTCTGGGTGTCTTTAAGTTTTTGTTTCAATTTTTAATTATACAAGAAATGTTTGAATCCCTTCTCTTTAAAAAACGTTTAGAATATACTGCATAATACTAAAGTTCACTTTGATCATCACCTCGAATTCCTCTGTCTCCTCCTCTCTGCTTTCCGCAAGTAATTGCTGTTCTGACTCTGGGTATATCCTTGCAGATATTTACAAATATATAAGTGTCCATGGAAAATATGTAGTAACATTGTATATGTTTCTAATAAATGGTAATAACATGCAGTATATAACTTCCAGAAAACTTGCTTTCACTCAATTTTTTTTTTTTTTTGAGGCATCCTTGGTAATACATGGAGGTCTGGTTCATTTCTTTCCACTGAGTTTAGTTTTCCATTGTATGAATATTCTACATTTTATTTCTCTAATTTCCTTTGGCCGGACAGCTAAATTGTTTCCGAACTTTTGCTATTTACAGACAGTTCTGTAATGAACATCTTTTTACATGTCCCTTGTTCACATGTATGGGTCTTTTTCCAGTTTAATATTTACTGTAGGGTAATATTACTTGAGTATGTTTCCTCTTATTTTTAATTTAGTTTTCTTTTAATCCAAGAAATCTATGCATAGAGTTTAAAATCCATAGAGTTCTCCAAAGGAAAGTATTACGAAAAACAGCAGGCCCCAGCGACTTTCCACCCACCCCACCCCCTCTTTCTGCGCAGAGGCAACAACTTTCAACTCTTGCTGATTCTTTGGGTCACCTCCAAATTTCTAAGTAACCTGCTTCTGTGACCACATCTTGATTTTTTTGTTTTTCTGTTTTAGGCATGGTCTCTGGCTTCCCACACTGGAAGATAAGACTTTAGCTCTCTTTTCTCATCCTTGCCTTTATCACACACATGCACACTTTCTCTTCACACCCTCCCAATATCAGTAAGTCATAATTTCAGCTTTATCGATAGAGAGGATTTGGCTTCTTCTAACTATGCAAATACTTGTCATAGGTAAGCCATTTTGTCTACAATAATTACTTTTCCTGTTGTGTGCTGGCATGGGACCTGACATTTTTCTGAATAAATCCTTTCAGAGGATAAGTCTGGATGGCCCCTTCTTTTTTTTTTTTTTTTTTTTTTGCGGTACGCGGGCCTCTCACTGTTGCGGCCTCTCCCATTGCAGAGCACAGGCTCCGGACGCGCAGGCTCAGCGGCCATGGCTCACGGGCCCAGCCGCTCCGCGGCACGTGGGATCCTCCTGGACCGGGGCACAAACCCGCGTCCCCCGCGTCGGCAGGCGGACTCCCAACCACTGCGCCACCAGGGAAGCCCTGGCCCCTTCTTCTTGCTTCCTGTCTAGTACATGGAGGGCTGGGCACAGGTGGTTAGGTATACAAACAGCCTCGCCAAGAAAGAATGTGCAATCCTGCAGAGGTGAAATGGTTTGGGTATGAGTAATGTGTGGAAACACCCCCAAACCCCTTTGCCAGGTCACACAACGATTCCCTGCTTGGCCCTGAAAAGTTTGTTTTCCCCTTTTTCTCTTCGTTATTCATGGAGCGCTCTACCCCGCGACTTCCAGCCAGGATCTGGAGTGCTAAGCTTTGGCTGTTGGGGCCCTAATGAGATGTTTCACCTAATGGCTGCGTTCCTGGGCTTGATTCTTCACAGTTGTGTGTGTGAAGCTGAGATCACCAGCTACGGGTTTTTTCCTTTTTTTTTTTTTTTAAGGGTCAAGAAGGGTTTATGTCATTCATTATTTATTTTTATAATAGAAGTAATGCAGCCTCCCAGTAAAAAAATTCAGTGGGGAAAAGAAGTGTATGGAGTGACAGGTCAAGGCCCCCTTTACTCCTCTCCCAATCCTGGCCCTTCCAGCGCCTCCTCTGAAGCAGTGCTGCTCTGGAAGCAGATGACCTGGCTTCAAATCCCAGCACTTGCTAGCTGTGTGGCCTTGAGCAGGTTACTCGGTGAGCCTCTGTGCTCTCATCTATGAAATAGGAAAGTACTAGTGCTCACCTCAGAGAGTGTTGTGGGGATTAAATGAGTTAATACTTAGAGAGTGGCACAGAGAAATCACTTAATAGGTATCAACCAGGAATATTACTAAGTGTTGTCTCTCCTTTTAGACCAGTGGTTCTTTTTTTTTTTTAAACATCTTTATTGGAGTATAATTGCTTTACAATGGTGTGTTAGTTTCTGCTGTATAACAAAGTGAGTCAGTTATACATATACATATGTTCCCATATCTCCTCCCTCTTGTGTCTCCCTCCCTCCCACCCTCCCTATCCCACCCCTCTAGGTGGTCACAAAGCACCGAGCTGATCTCCCTGTGCTATGCGGCTGCTTCCCACTAGCTAGCTATTTTCTGAGACCAGTGGTTCTTAACCTTGACTGCACACTGAAATCAAGTGGGGAGCTGTAAAGTTTCCTGGTGCCTGGATCCCACCCTTAGCCATTCTGATTTTATTGATCAGAGGTATGGCCTGAGCATTAGGATTTTTAACTGCTCCTCAGATCATCACAGTGTGCAGCCCGGGTTGAGAACCCTTGTGTGCCACGTGCTCCATATTTTCCACGTGTATCAGTTGGAATAGGCGAGGTTACGCTGCAGTAAAAAACATCCCCCAAATCTCATCTACTTCTTTCTTTTTTAACTGGAGTACAATTGCTTTACAGTCTCATCTACTTCTTATTTCTTGTATGTGTCCATTGTGGTCTGTTGCAGCTCTGACTCTCATCCTCTTTACTCTGGAACCCAAGCTAACCGAGTAGCTTTTATCTGGAACATTTAGCCTTGTGAAGTGGGAAGGGAGCATGGTGAACCATGCACTAGCTCTTAGAGCTTCCAAGCAGAAGCAAAACATAACTTCTGCTCACACTTCATTGGCCAAAGCAAGTCATATGGTCACATCTCAACAGGGAGCATCTATATCAGGGGCCAGCAGCCTTCTTCTGCAGGGGGCCAGATAGTATTTTAGGATCTGTAAGGATCTGTCACAACTACTTACCTCTGCCTGCAAAGCACAAAAGCAACCGTAGACAATACACTGTTCAAAAATGTAAAAATCGCTCTTAGCTCGTGAGCCATTCAAAAACAGGCAGCAGGCCAGATCTGGCCCTCAGGCCGTAGTTTGCCAGCCCCTGGTGTATATCATCTTCCTACAGGGAGAAGCTTTTCAGGATGGGACCCCAAATATGGGTAAAGAGTAATGCAGTCTACATGCTCTGTGTATAGAAAAGAGAAGGAGACAGAGACGGAGAGAGAGTGGACCCTTTCATTGTACACTGTGTTTTACACACTATACTGTGATACAGCTTGCCTTTGTTCCTTAATACTATTTTTCTGGATGCTTCTTTTATGTCAGGAGTTCTAGCATGACTCCGTTTTTTTAATGGCTGCCTCGTTTTCCCGGGTATGGATGTACTACAGTGGGTTTCTTTGGTCTGGTTTGGCTGCATTGGGTCTTCATTGCTGCACGTGCTTTCTCTAGTTGCAGAGAGCGGGGGCTACTCTTCGATGCAGTGTGTGGGCTTCTCATTACGGTGGCTTCTCTTGTTGCGGAGCCCAGGCTCTAGGCACGTGGGCTTCAGTAGTTGCGGCGCATGGGCTCAGTAGTTGTGGCCCGCAGGCTCAGTAGTTGTGGCACACGGGCTTGGTTACTCTGCGACGTGTGGAATCTTCCTGGACCAGGGATCGAACCTGGGTCCCCTACATTGGCAGGCGGATTCTCAACCACTGCACCACCAGGGAAGTCCCCTACAGTGGGTTTTGTTTATATGCTTGTTTTCGTAGTTAATCCTCTCTTGTTAGATAAAAGTGTTTTTTTAAATAGCCGGAGGAGGAGGGCTATAGCCATAGAGCGGTTGTAAGGAGAGAACCAGCATCCCGGCTCTCCCAGTAGTTTATACATAGTTTATACTGCTTTCCCTGAAATCACTCAGGCCTCCCTGGAAACACACATTCTCCAAGAGGCTCTCCTTTCCTACAGCCATTTCTGGTTCTTGCAACACTGAACACAGTTGCCATTCCAGGGGCATATTTGTGGGGGGAGGTTTAAACACTGGCGAGGGTAGATAGAAATGATGAAAAAGTAGAAGTGAAATCTCAGAAGCTGTGCAACATTATCACCCTGACCCCACCCGGAGACACATCTTAGGCCGTGTGCTAGCCGCGCAGATGAGGACGGACCGGTTCTGCCATTCAGGGGTGGGCCGGGAGGAGAGGAGGCTGAGACGACAATGACTCCACTTACTTGCGCTTTTCTCTGGTTCTTCCTAACAGGACACCACGGCGTCCGTGCGCATCGGCCTCATGATGGAAGAAATGATCTTCAACCTCGCAGATACACATCTGTTCTTCAATGACCTGGAGGTTTGGAATTGCTTGATTGCTCATTTCATTCCATAGTTGCTGTATTTAATCACCTGCATCTTGTTTGGGGGCAGAGACACTGCCTTTTCTTTTTCCTTTTTTTTTTCCTTTTTCGTTTGGAGGCTAGAAACTTTTGCTCACAACCCCGAAGAAGGCACAAAACTGTGGCCAGCCATGGCTTATTGGAAACACACTTGACCGGATTCTCTCCCCACCTTCCCTCTCTGTGGTTAATGGGCTTTTCTCTCTGCTCTAGTGGTGATGTCCACTGGCAGTTTTACTAATCCAATCAAGGCTGCGTAGTTTCTTCCTCCTGAAATTTGCTATTTAATAAAGTTTATTAAGACAAATTAGTACAGATCCTCCTGGGTCAGGAATAATTAGCAGTGGGCCAGGATGGAAGCTTTTAAAAACAATTTACATTCTCCTGAAAACATGTTTTACAAAGAGAGAGAGAGAGTGAGCGGTGGGGCCGCGCGGATTTAAAGTATCTGCTCCTGTGCCCCTAAGCAAGTAGCAAGGGAGATAGGAAAAAGGGGGAGAGCAGCTTCAGAAATAAATTTAATTCGTTTGTTTATACCCAGCCTGTGTCAGAAAGATTGGGGAAGAATTTCAAATAGAAAACATATTTAAAATAGAGCTACTAAAGCAAAAGCAAAGGAATTGAAAGCCATGTAATGAATAAGGGTGAGGCATTGTACCAGAAAAAGTCTGGCTCAGGCTAACTACAGCAGTTAAGTTGAGTCTCTCTGAGCTTCCTGGTAGACAAAGCAAGGAGGGAAATGCAGTACACTACTTACCCCTAATGAAAGAGCAAGCAGCTTTCTCCAAGGTGAGGAAAGTTTTTTTGGTTGATAAGAGGATTAATGTGGGAATCTTCTAGCTTTGTAAATTATATTCTCGTTATTGGTTTAACAGATTGAAAAATAAAGGCAACCTAAAATAAAACTGCATGTAAAAGAACAATTCTATTTATCCTAGTAGGAATATTTTTTTCTTAGAATCTGGAAAATCCCTGGGTACTCAACTGTGAAGTAGTAATATGAAGGCTATAAATTGCAAATCTGTCCTGGCCAACTGAGAGCATTACTCATTTATCGTCAGGAAAGGATACAGAGTTTCCTTCCCAGTCTGCAGTCCTAGAGTTCCAGAAAGGAAAATCCTTGCTGAAATGATCGATCTTGTGTTCCGTCCAGTCTCAGCAAGCCGTTTGGGCCTCAGCCCTCCCATCTATGAAATGAGATTGATGCTCTCTGCCCAACATCTTTTTCAAAGAGAGGATTGAGATAGAAACTTGCTGAGGAAGGGGACTTCCCTGGTGGTCCAGTGGGTAAGACTCCATGCTCCCAAGGCAGGGGGCTGGGGTTCAATCCCTAGTCAGGGAACTAGATCCTGCATGCATGCTGCAACTAAGGCCCAGCACAGCCTAAATAAATAACTAAATATTAAAAAAAAAAAAAACTTGCTGAGAAAGAAAGCTTTGGAGCAGTGGAGAATGCCAGTAGCATCAAGGCCCAAAACTATCTCTTTAGCCAAAAGCAATGTGCAAGCTCCCTTTACAAAGTCCTCTTATGTCTTGGGGGGAAAAAAAGAGAGAACTTAAAGTTAAATTTTTAAATTAAAAAAAAAAAACATGGCAATTGAATTCAGCAAGTATTATGGAGCCTAATATAGTAAAGACTCAGCTGATTGCATGTAGTAAAACCCAACCTGCTTTAGCAAACAATGGAAATTATTGGCCCTTGTACCTGAAAAGTCCAGGGTAGATGTAGTTTTTCCCTGTCTCCTGCTTAGAATGTCACTTTTGTGCGAGGAGGGACGTCTGTCTGAGTCACCCTAAAGCCCCAGGGACCAGGCAGTAAACAACCAAACAAATCCATAAACAAGCATGCTTGTGGTAGTGAAAAGGACGTGAAGAAAATAAAACAATCAGATGTGATAGTGAGTGTTGGGGGTGAGGGAGTAGGGTAAGGGAACAGCATTCTCGAGGGGGTCAGGGAAGGCATCTCCAGGACGTGGCACTTGAGCCAAGGCCTGAATGATGACAGGAACCAGCCAGGTGGAGACCAAGGGAGGTGGGATCAGCAGGTGCAAAGGCCCTGAGGTGAGAACTAGTGTGACATCATCAAGGATCGGCAAGAAGGACAGGTGAGTGCAGTGAGTGAGTGAAAGCAAGGGGGCGGCTGGGAGGGATGAGTCTGGAGAGGGAGGCATGAGCCAGACACGAGCCATAGACATCAGAGTTGGACAACCATGGGGCGAGGGAGCATGAAATGGGAAGAGCCACGTGACCTGATTAATGTTTTAAAATGACCACTCTGGTTGCTGCATGGAGATTAGGCAGTAGGACGGGAAAGGTAGAGACAGGGGGACCAGCAAAGAGATACTTCCAAGCAAAAGATGAAAAACGGGTTGGATCAAGATGGGAAGAAGATGTGGGCTCCGGGAGAATGGCAGGAAAGCTGAGAGGCCTTGCTGACGGGTTGGATGTGGGGGATGAGAGGAGAGAGGAGCCCAGAGGGGCTCCTGGGCTTGGCCTGACCTGGGTGATGGTGCTGTTCTCTGTGGTGGGCAACACAGGGAGGACGGGAGAATCCATCCTTCTGTTGTGGGCACATGAGGTCGGAGGTGTCTGGGACACCCCAGTGACATACCAGATCGACAGACAGATACGCGGGTTTGAAGCTCTCAGGCAGTGACTGGTAGACACTTAGTAAGCACTTTGTCCGTCTTGTTGAACCTGAGGCTCAGAGCCAGGTATTTTTTGGACTGGTGTGTGTTCAAGCCCATGTCTTCAGAACCTTGCCCCCTCTGCTGTTCTGCGCTGACCGCAAAGTCAAAGTCGCACCTCTTGGAAAAGGATCTTAATTACCAGCTGGAGCTACTCAGGGAAGCCAGTTTGTTTTTATTCTCTACATTTTTTTCCAAAATGTCCCCAGTGCCAGAAGCCCCGAGGGCACCTCAGCAGAATTGAAACCATGTCATACGATGCAGAAGTTAAGACACAAGTGAACACATATTGCTTGCTGGTGCAGGGAGCCCCCGTCAAAATCTGAAGGGCAGCCCGGTGGAGCTCCCCAGGGAGGTCCTTCGGAGCTGGAGCCCGGCTCCGGCATGGATGGTCAGATGATGGCGTTTAGGGAACGAAGTCAGATCCCCTTCTGCTCTGAGCCTGCAGTGCCATCTCTAAATAAGGAGATCAGCTCCCACAAGCAACGGCAATTTATGGAGAGTTTATCATTCACCAGGCCCTGCTCTAAGTGCTGTGGATTCAGTGGCCAAAAAAACGAAAATAAAACACAGCAAGATTCCCCCACCCTGGAGGCACTGACCTTCCAGTTGGGGAAGCAGACCATAAACAATTGAATATAAAATGTCAGATAAAGTGCTCCAAAGAGAGGCCAGCAGAGCCGGAGGAGATGGTCACAGGGACTGTTTTCCTTGGTAAAACCAGGTAAGGCTTCTGTGACACTGGAGCAGAGACCTGAAGGAGGTAAGGGAGAGGACCACGTGGGCATCTAGGCAGAAAGTGTACCAGACAGAGAGAACAGCAGTGCAGAGGCCCTGGGGCATGGTCAGAGTTGGCAAGTTCCAGGAACAGGAAGGAGAGCCCAGTGCAGCTAGAGCAAAAGAGCAGGAAGGACTGTGGAGGGCATTTTGGGGGAGGGGAGACAGATCACGTGGGGCCTCTGGGCCATCATAAGGCTCTGGGTAACATTCTAACAGTGACCAGAAGCTATTGGAGGATTTAGAGCAGGGGAGCAACATGACCTGACTCACTGCTCAGAGGCTCCCTCTGGCTGCCGGGTGGAGAACAGACCAAAGGGGGCAATGGTGGAAGCAGGTGTTTGCATTAGATCGTTCCCGGACTGAAAGGTGAAAGTGCTCATGGGGCAGGGATTCCATGAGGAGGACTGGTCAGAGACAAAGTAGGTGCCAAGTTCAGCTGTATCTCAGGACTGTAGGGATGCGTGTCCAGAGTTTACGGCAAGTGTTTGCTAGTCAGTTCAGTCTGCCTTTGAGTCCTGGCTCCACCATCTCCTGGCTGTGTGACCTGTGCAAGTCACTCCACCTCCTTTGAACCTCAGTTTCCTCATCTGTTAAATGGGTAGAAGAAAAGCCCCTAACTTCCAGGGTTGTCAGGATGATGGGAGGTACACGGAAGCAGTCAGCAGAGAGCCTGGCACACGGTACATGCCCAAGAGATGGGCCTCCCCACCAGAGGGCTGCATGTGCCACTGGGACTGTGCAAGGGGGGTTTACATGGTACAGGGGCAAATTGTTTAATTTAAATCATTATATGTTTATTGTATGATGAGCTAGAAAAGGTAACTAGGTTGCCCAATCCCCGATTTTACCATAATTCAGTAACAATACATGTAATGCAGAGGTAGGGCAAAGATTATGACAGTGGTGAGCAACCTGGCCCTAAATGACAGCAAGTTGCTGGAGTTTGGGCATAAATATTGACAATTACCCGGCCAACTTGCCTTTGTGCGAGGGCTACTTCTTTTGCAGTAAAATCCAGGGCAGAGGATCCTCATCTGAAATGTCAGCTGGGTTGTGGAGCAAGGGGGGAGGTTTGATTGAAATTCACACACCTGACGCTTGGGAGCTCATAAAAGCATCCTCGGGCTCACTGAACTGCGCATGTGCCACTGCCAAAGCCAGGCCGGACCCGGCTGAGTGGAGGTGCCGGGCAGCACAGTCCTCTTGGGTTTGATTTCGGGGCTCCGTGTGCAGCGGGGGAGGCGATGCCATCCATCCTCGTGGCCCCTGCGTAAAGAGGTGAGTGGGGGAAAGCCCCGTCCTCGCTTTCCCGTCTTCCCTCGTTCTCAGAGCGCAGGCTCTCGATGTCTGCAACCTTATTATCGTCAAGTGGGGAAGGGTGAGTTTGGAAATGGGGAGGGAAATGTGGGTTATCACACGAAGGGGAAGAACTGTCGGCTCCTAGCAGTCGGGGCCAGGGGTGCCACGTAACCCAGTATTTTGTACAGCCT